CCCTGGTCCTCCCAGGATTTTCATTATCCCCAATCATGGTTCCTAAAAGTAAAGCCAAAATTAATTCTGGGTAAGCTTCGCAAAACAAACGAGTAACTTTCTCAAGTTTACTCTGAGGTGATTTTATTGAAACACTGCAACACAGAATAATATCAGATTTTTGAGCTGGAATGACAGTCTGCTTGAAATCCGAAACAATATTATCACATACTTTCTAAAGAGATCCCTAAATACTGTCACCACTGAAAGTCATTCATATTTCAATTTTTTACAAGTTACAGTAAATGCACAATCTTAGTTACCCATTTACACAGAGAAATTTTACTGAAAAATCTCACTTAAACCTCCTCCACTTTAGACCTCATCTAAGCATATGTTGCATTCTTAGAATCACTGTTGTATTTCACACAATACATAACGTTGTGGTGTTTATTCAAAGACTATATTCTGAACCAGATCTACTTAACTCCAGAAATTATTTCTTGAGTTAGAGGTATCTGGCTTTGGTACAGTGCTTTTCCTAGGACATGGTCACCAGCTACTCTGAACAAGAGGATCTGAATGCAGCCCTGCCAAGAGGACAGCAGGCAGCAGGTCCATATTCCAAACAGTCACTCACTGCATTCACCTGCTGAATGGGATGCTCTACCTTCTGCTCTAAAGACCTAAGAAAACAGGGCACTGAATTAGGAAGTAACACTGGACACCCAGAGTCCAGAGGAAAAAGTGCAGCACATGATGGAGTGTTTCAAGGACTGCATTGATAATGGAACTGTGGCAGGCAAGTGACAGGGGAATCCAAGAGAGCTAAAATAGTAAGGTGTTTGCCGCGATCTGATCTAAACTGTTAGTAGCCCATGTGTTCAAGTGAATTACGCATTGCTGTTTTGCAAACGTGTGTACAAAACACACGCACTTACACACATTTCTGGAAATGAAGATCACTATAAAATGTCATATGAGTTTCTACTGCAACTTGAGATGAAGAATGCATTTCTCACCTTTTCAAGTGTGTTTTGCCTGAGAATTTAAAAAGTCACTTCAAGTTCAAAAACCAGCAAACATGAATAGAATGAGAGTCTGGGAGATGCAAGAAGCCATCATCAAGTTGAAGAAAAAAAACAAATCTCTTTAAAGCCTTAACATCCAACATTTTATAACTTCTTTACCTGTCCCACTTGCCATATTCTCTGATACTGAGTTTTGAGATGTTTGTTCTTCCCTTTCTGAATTTCTTACTTCAGTTAAAGTAGGGTAATTCTCATTGGTAACAGATGATGTATTCTCAGATGATGTGTTGAATGGGGCACCTGGCTCAAATCTTGCTGGTTATTTCCAATTGTTTCTTGATTGCTTAGCCCTTCTCCAGGTTGTTCCCACTGTGATGAACTTGACTGCTCCTGTTCCTTCAAAACTGACTGCTCCAGAGAAGACTGCTTCTCACAGCCCTTCTCTGTGTGGTGCCTGTAGCTTCTGAAAGCAGACGCTTCTCTGCTTCGTCCACACTCTTGCCCTCTCCAACTGCTCTTCTTGGTGGGAATGTAGATGGTAGCTCTGCACTAGGCCCTTGTGCTGTAACAACTTCAGAGCGTATCACAACTATCCACTGTACCTTTTCCTGAAATATCAGTTGCATGCTTTCAACCTTTCTGCAAGAACAATCACAGCATCTATTTAAAACCACATACTAGCACAGCTCTACTACCAAACATATGGGTGGTGTAGTGTCAAAAGCTTTTTCTGTATCTATTCCCTAATAGTCTGTTTAGAATAGCCCACCTCAAAAACATTTTTCATCTTCTCACTGGTGTTTAACAAACGTAATACTGCAGAGCAAGCAGTCAGCATAATTGGCCAGGTTGGATGGGGCTTTGAGAAGCAGGTCTAGCGAGAGGTGTCCCTATCCAGGGCAGGGGGATTGGAACTAGATGATCTTTAAGGTCCCTTCCAACCCAAATCATTCTATGATATACAGACCCCAAGACTCAGCATTACCCAGCGACAGCACACCTTTAATGTTTTCTGTGCTGCCACTGCAATGACACGGGCTGGAAGAACCCGAACCCCACACTCCTGAAAAATACGGGCAGCAGCTGCAGCAGCAGCGAAGAGCAGTGATCCCCGCCCAAGCGCCGGTATCTCGGGCCATTCCTACCTACCGCCGGCCCGGTTGTGCCACCGGGCCCCGTCACGCGGCGCCGGGCGGTGCGCAGACACTACCGATAGGCCGGGCCGGCCCTCCCGGCATGCTGCGCGCCCGTCCCGGACCCCAGCCCGTGGCTGTGCAGCGGCTCCCCCGCCCGGCCCGGCCCGCGTCCCCCTCCCGGTCCCGCACCCGTTACTTCCCCCCGCAGCGGCCGCTTCTCCGGGCGGAGCGTCGCGGTAGCCATAGCAACCGGGAGCGAAGGTGGAGGGCGCTGCGCACGGCGGTGGACGTGAGCATGCGCACTGGGGTCGGTGGGTGCCTGGTCCCCGCCGAGCCGCAGCTGTGGGTGGGCCGCGAAAGGCCAGGAAGAGGTGAAAAAGGAAGCGGAATGAAAAGACACAGGCCGAGAGGGGTCCCTAGCTCTCTGTGACTCCGGCAGTTGGCAGAAGCACGGCAGCACAGAGTACCTGCAGTGACTGTGCATGCTGCCGTACCGTAGGTCAGTGACTGTGCCTCGGTCCACACGGTGTTGGTGACCATGAACTCTTACCAGCTGATAGTAGCATAAATGCACAAAACCACTATTTTCCCTCTCAGTTCACACTGTGGATAGTAGCGGAAATCATGCTAAAACCCCTAACTGCTCCCTGGCTATTATGAAAGGTTGGGGTGTTTGGATGTTGATAACGCTTGCTCTACAGCCCATCATTCCCAGACCCTGTGGCAGGCAGCCCGCCAGCCAGCCTGTTTGCCCTGGAAGGTCTGCGGTTCTGGTGTGAGGGCTGAGGCTGCTGAGTGGAAATGAAGAAACGCCAGAATTAAAACCCTGTGAAACTGAATTTCCCAGTGTTTGATGGGTGATTTCTGAGACAACACCTGCAAGTACTTCAGCACAGTGCAGGAAAACTGTGACTAGACTCACTTCACAGAACCACTTTAGAGGTGAAATACACAGTTCTGTGTCACAACTGTGGGAGAATCCTATAAAAAAATGTATTTCAGCAGGCACTGTAATTGTGTGCCATAATGTTTCCATGTTTCTCAGACACAGGCATTTGAACACGGGCCTGCTTCCCATCAAAACGAACAGAAATTTCCCATTACTACTGTTAATGATCTTTTTTCTAAAACCTGGACTGAACTTAAGGTAGAACAGGACCAGCACTCACTACTGCATAGTCAATTTGGTCATTCAACCTCCTTTTCAGTTTGCAAGATAATTTCTCAGGGTTTTTTTATGTAATGGCATATAAGCTATAAATTTAAAAAAAAAAAAAAAAAAGCAGCTTTCACTCGTCTCCCACTGAACACAGCCAGAAATTATGTTGAAGACTAAAATGATGTCCTGTTCAGCCACTTGGAACAGGGGAAAAAGCACAGAGCACAGGTGGGAATAAGAAAACACTTGGTATTGCTGCTGCCTGGCAATCCGAAAGCTGTTTTCCTGGTTTAACAGGCTCTGTCTCCTTTGGCCCCATCCTTGCAGAGAGAGGGATGTTCATTCACACAATGACTCCCATCAGATGATCTCAAAGCATTTTAAAGATCTAAAGCTTGCAGTGATTTACCTTACCATACTACATAGAGAAAGATAAAACTCTTTTGCATCATCATGTATTTTCAAAATAGTTAAAGGAGAAAAATAAGCAAAACTGTTAATCTCCAAATTAGACCCTTCTAGCACATTTATCTGAAATTATCTGCAACACAGTACTCCTAATATAGATTCCCTTGCCTGTAAAATATGCGTACTGTTTTGTTGCTACATTATGCTGTAGACTGAAATAATGGATATATAGTTACAGAGTTAACAGCAAGGTAAAAATTGTTTCTCTTCTTAGCAAAGATGTATTTTTAAATCAGCCAGGAACAAGCATGACCTGAACTATACAACACTGCACAGAAGGCACATACCATTCCATCTCAGAACTGCAATCCTCCCTTTCTTCTCACTAACTAAAGTTAATGCTACAATATAATACTAATTAATTTAGTAATCTTATGTAGCATAGGTGATTAATTTATGATAATGAAACCATAATTAACTAATGATGATAATAATGAAAAATGCAGAAAATGCTAAAAAGCACAAAGCTGAAAAATCCTTATTAATGATTCCTGGAGTAGGCTTCAGTAGAAGCTTTTTAAGATTCCAGTTAACTGATTCCTAAATTAAAGCATTTGTGAAGGCTAATCCAGTGTTTTGGATAGAAAGATTTAGAGAATGATCTCATTTTGAGTCATGTGAAACAAACACTCATACGTCAGAAAAATCACTGAGAATATACATTAGGAAATAAGTCCTGGGAAAAAAAAAATCCCCTCAAGGTAGTGAATAACTTCTGTTAGGGCTTATATTGAGGACATACTTGTACATTTGTGAAAGGGAGAAGGTGCAAGTACACTTTTGATCAGTGAAACTCAGACCAGACTTTTAAAAGACAAATTTCAGCAGCAATACGACAAGAAAAATCGTTCCTTTCCCTTGCAACAAATTCATGAGCTTCCTGGAGAGCTACTGGAAGTCATGCAACAAATACAGCTTTAGAATTGGAGAAAATAACCGCACAAGGAGAGAGTTCAGCTAATGTCTCAGTTATGAAAGAGGTCCAACAATTGTCACCACTTCTGGCAACTTTTTTTCCACCCCCCTCAAGTACTGCATGCCAGCACCACTCATACCAGATTTTGGACTATTTTATTTTTTATTTTGCTTCTTCCCGCATTAGCTCAATACTTATACCTACATCCACTCACCTGCATTTCTCACCAGACATTGTTTGCCCTCATTCCAAGTTCGTAATCCTTTAATATTTCTCATGTGAAAACTGTGCATGTTAACTTTACCAAACTTCTCTTCTGGAATGCCATCTAGTGGTTTTATCTCAGAAGAGACCAGCTTCTACCCTTTTGAAGACTGAAAACCCTTCTAAACGAAACAGTGAAGCAAAATACTTCCCTCTTTTTCAGTTGTCCTGGGTTCAGCAGTAGCAGTCATTTTTTCTCCTTCTTAGTAGCTGGTGCAGCACTGTGGTTTTGACTTTCAGCCTGGGAACAGTGCTGATAAAACCACCGTTTTTAGTCACTGCTCAAATGTTTAGTCTGATCAAGGACTTTCTGAGTCTCATGCTCTGCCAGGGAGGAGGGGAAGCTGAGAGGAAGCAGACACAGGACACCTGACCCAAACTAGCCAGAGAGGTATTCCATACCACAGCACGTCATGCCCAGGAGGTAAACTGAGAGTTATCTGGAAGGGCTAGTTCACTGCTCAGTCGGGCTGGGGATCAGTCGGCAGGTGGTATTGTACTCTCTTTCATTGTTATTTCCTTTATCATTATTATTATTGGTAGCAGTAGTGATTTTATGTTATACCTTAGTTACTGGGCTGTTCTTATCTCAGCCTGTGAGAGTTACATTCTTTTGATTTTCCAGCCCATCCCTCTGGGAGCGGGGGGAGGAAAGTGGGGGAGCGAGTGAGGACTGCATGGCTGATTGATGACTGAGCTTAAACCAGGACATCAGTCTTCAAAATCTAAAACTTTCTGTAATGATAGTAATAATAGTTGAAATAAACAATGCTAAAGAATGCAGTGAAAATAGTTGCTAGAGTCAATACCCTAGGTATACTTCCTGGGTTTTTAATTCCACTGTCCTACTCCTCTAATACCTTGACTATATGAAATACTATGTAAAGACGTAATTAATTATTAATAATAATGATGTCACAGGTAAACTTATAGGCCTAATGACTATGAAAACCAGCTATGTTACATAATGTTACACACTGCAGTGTCATTATTGTAAACTTTAATGAACAGCAGATTTCTGTCATACAGCTATATTCTTCTCTTTAAACTTGTAAGAACTTTATCAATACTATTGAAAAAAAACTAGGAGTAAAGGCAAATTCATATAGTCCCTCTGATCCGGTCTGGGTATTTTAATTGGAGCTTGTAAGCTGAAATCTGTAAACAATCAGGAAAGGCTGGCACTGTTTCCATTTAAATGCTTGAAAGAACCTAGCTAGATATATCAAGAAAGATCAGCTATTTTACTTCCTTTACTACATAATATTCAAGGTCTGAATCAATAGTATACATCTATAAAGTATACATATTTATATACCAAGTCTTTGTAAGACCCCAATAGTAAAGTCTGTGCAATACGTATGATGCCAAGCATGGTAACCTACCAGCTAAACAACAAACCTGTTCTTTACTCTCACCTTCAGGGGCAGCCTTCCTTCTCCCCTTGCCCATCCACTCTCGGGTCTTTCCAGAGCTTCCCCTGAGACAGAATTACCACTGATGTCGGCAGACACCAGTCACCAGATCCTGATCTCCGAATTTGTCTGGTTAGACACCGGCAGTGGCTGGCAAAAATGCACAACCCAAGGTGCGAAAGAAGGGCAGGATCATACTTTTCTACAACTTGGATTCGGATTTCAAATGGCCTGTAATATCGGTATTTGTTAACATACAGATGCAGATTGTAAAAATAAAAAGACACAAATACCCTGTTAATAATAAATTACTAAAGAAACTAAACCAAAGGTTGTATAACAGCTGGAAAGAAATTTCCAAAAACATTTTCACAAGAAATTGGAAGCAGTCTTTAGACTGCTAAATATAAACAGAGATTGGGATGAAACATGTTTTTATGAAGTTATTATTTTTAATTTAAGGACAACTGTCAGAAATAATAGATTAATAATTAACTTTTTTCAACTTTCAAGAGCTTACACCCTTTTGAAAATCAGATTGGCCATCTCCACTGGTCAGAAGGAGGTTCTTCAACTAGAGGCTCCCATGGTTTCCACTGCATCATTTTTCTTGCCAGAGAAAGCTCACTTTCAGCCTGTTAATAAACACCATATACAAATTCTTAAATTCTGTACAACTGACTATTAAATTATCTCTACTTCATTATCTAGGTGATGTCACTACCTATCACAGTTACAGACTATCAAAAGGAACTGTGTGTTTTGGGTTCTGTTTCTAAAAACCATATTGAATCACCCCCAAATAGCAGGCAGTCTGTTCACCAAGGCATTCCCAATGATAACTTCATGATACTTTCCAATTTATCTGGATTATTCCCCAATATTATTCAATGGCCTTCTGCCCTTTCCGCTGATTTAAGACTCTGTAAGAACAAGTGTAGGTACACCAAGGTACAAATGTAAGCATGATAGTAAACATGTGCTGTGTTAGGTTTCAGCATGGTCATCCCAATCACATGACAATTCATTTTTAGATTTTTTATGTTTGATTGTTTTGCCACAAATGAAGATATGGAAAACTGTTGATTTTCTGACCAAAGCTTAGCCAAAAGAACACTGAAAACCACAGCTCTCTTTTGTATCTGTTTTTCCCATTTTACCTGTAAAATGACTTCTTCTATGTGACCACTATTCAGTTTGTCCTGTAGCTTTTGCACGTCAGTCTCCTGTGTATTCAAATACACATAAATAAATGTCTGTATTTAATGAGAAGTAGAAAGCCCACATAAACTATGAAAACAACAGTTTAACCAGATCACCGACAAGGAGAGGTGCCATGCTCGTGCTCACCAACAGGGAAGGGCTTGTTGGAAATGTGATGCTCCAGGGCAGCCTTGGATGCAGCGACCACGAGCTGGTCGAATTTGAGATCCTCAGGACAGTGAGAAGAGCATGCAGCAAGCTCACTGCCCTGGACTTCAAAAGAGCAGACTCTGGCCTCTTCAGGAACCTGCTTAGTAAGGTTCTATGGAATATAATCCTAGAGGGCATGGGGGCCCAAGACTGTTGGTTGATATTCAAGGATCACCTGCTACAAGCTCACGAGTGTTGCATCCCAACTAGAAGGAAGTGCAGCAGGAGGGCCAGGAGACCTTGGATGGATAAGGAGCTCCTGAGGAAAATTCAAATGAAAAAAGAGGCTTTTAAAAAGTGGAAGCAAGGACAGGTGGCCTGGGAAGAATACAGGGATGTTGTACGGGAAGCTAGGGACCAGGTTAGGAAAACTAAGGCCCAGTTAGAATTAAACTTGGCAAGGGATGTTAAGGATAACAGGAAGGGATTCTACAGGTACATAGCAAATAAGAAAACAGACTAGGCAGAACATAGGCCCCCTCAGGAAGCTCTCAGGAGAACTGACTTTACAGGATTTGGAGAAGGCTGAGGTCCTGAATGACTTCTTTGCCTCAGTCATCACTGGCAAAGGCTCTGACCACACCACCCAAGTCTTGGAAGGCACATGCAGGGACTGTGAGAATGAAGACCCTAGGCCCACTGTAGGAGAAGATCTGGTTCGAGACCATCTTAAAAATCTGAATGTACACAAATCCATGGGTCCTGATGAAATCCATCTGTGGGTGTTGAAGGAGCTGGCAAATGAAGTTGCAAAGCCACTGGCCATCATATTTGAAAAATCATGGCAGTCAGGTGAAGTTCCCTACGGCTGGAAAAAGGGAAATAAATATAACCCCCATTTTCAAGAAGGGGAAAATGGGTGACGCAGAGAATTACAGACCAGGCAGTCTCATCTCTGTGCCTGGCAAAATCTTGGAGCAGATTCTCCTGGAAGGCATGCTAAGGCACATGAAAAACAACAAGGTGCTTGGTGACAGCCAGCATGGCTTCACTAAGGGGAAATCCTGCCTGACCAATTTGGTGGCCTTCTATGATGGGGCTACAGAACTGATGGACAGGGGTAGAGCAGTTGATGTCATCGACCTGGACTTGTGCAAAGCATTCAACACTGTCCTACATGACATCCTTGCCTCTAAATTGGAGAGACATCAATTTGATGGATGGACCACTTGGTGGATAAAGAACTGGCTGGATGGCCTCACACAAAGAGTTGTGGTCAATGGCTCAATGTCCAGCAGGAGACCAGTAATGAGTGGTGTCCCTCAGGGATCTTTGTTGGGACCGGTCTTGTTCAGCATGTTTGTTGGTGACATGGACAGTGGGATTGAGTGTGCCCTCAGCACGTTTGCCAGTGACACCAAGCTGTGTGGTTCGGTTGATACGCTGGAGGGAAGGAATGCCATCCAGAGGGACCTTGACACACTTGTAAGGTGGGCTGATGCCAACCTCATGAAGTTTAACCATGCCAAGTGCAAGGTCCTACACCCAGGTCGGAGCAATCCCAGGCACAGCTACAGGTTGGGCAGAGAAGAGATTCAGAGCAGCCCTGCGGAGAAAGACTTGGGGGTACTGGTCAACAAGAAAATTAACATGAACAGGCAGCGTGCGCTCACAGCCCAGAAAGCTAACAGTATCCTGGGCTGCATCAAAAGGATCATGACCAGCAGGTCGAAGGAGGTGATCCTGCCCCTCTACTCTGCTCTTGTGAGACCTCACTTGGAGTATTGTGTGCAGTTCTGGTGTCCTCAACATAAAAAGGACATGGAACTGTTGTAACAAGTCCAGAGGAGGGCCACGAGGATGATCAGGGGTCTGGAACACCTCCTGTATGAGGACAGGCTAAGAAAGTTGGGGCTGCCTTCCAGTATCTGAAGGGGGCCTATAAGAATGCTGGGGAGGGACTCTTCATTAGGGACTGTAGTGATAGGACAAGGGGTAATGGGTTAAAACTTAGGGGGAGTTTAGATTGGATATAAGGAGGAAATTCCTTCCTGTTAGGGTGGTGAGGCACTGGAACAGGGTGCCCAGAGAGGTTGTGAATGTTCCATCCCTTTCAATGTTCAAGACCAGGTTGCACAAGGCCTTGGGTGATATGATTTAATGTGAGGTGTCCCTGCCCATAGCAGGGGGGTTGGAACTTGATGATCTTAAGGTCCTTTCCAACCCTAACTATTCTATGATTCTATAATTCTATCACGCTCTAATCTTCCCCAAGCCTTGCACCAAATTAGCTATCTTCTACCATTTTACATTATCAAAGAAATCTCACACACTTTTCTTATTGGAAATCAAACGTTAAACTCTCAGTGATAAATATAAAAAAAACAAGTACAATCTGATGACATCCGAAGAATAATTAGCAGCTCATGGCTTCAGTATGTATTTTGGAAGACAATTTTGATCTTAGGTTTTTATAAAAGGATATGCAACCTTCCAATTATCATCTTAAATACACAATTCCAGTATTGCATAGTTTACCGTACCAAAATGCAGTTTAAAATGTCAAAGGGAAGGACTGGGCTTTCAGCAACCCTATCTAGTGGGAGGTGTGCCTGCCTATGGCAGGGGGTTGTAGCTAGATGAACTTTAAAGTCCCTTCCAACCCAAACCATTCTGTGATTGTGTGATTGTGCTAAGATCCTACACTGTTAAGAGTACATGCATTTTTGTGCAAATGTGTGGAAATTACCACTGTTCCTAAAAATGTATCTAAAAAAAATATGTTTTCTTCTAATTTTCACACAGAAAATCAGAAAGAAATTAACAATTCTTTTTAATACACCATGAAAATGTTTCAGTCAGTAACAAAAATAAACCTTAAGTCTTCAATTATTTCTGAATTGATACCTGAAGGGCACATATACTCCTGAAAAGAGCCAGTCATCTGGAAAATCATTCTTCTCATCCTAAAAATATTTTCATGCGTAACATTTATGAAGCAGCACCGTACTTACCGTTTGCACCAAATTAAACCGCTCATTTATAATCTGCTCAGTGTATTTCCTGTATGCTGCATCTTTGGGAATGTTCTGCAGGACACCAAGGATTTTTGTGTACAGCATTCGCAGGCGCTGAAGTGATGACAAGACATGGTTAAATTACACAACTAGAATTACTTAACTTGTCCTACTTAACCTACTAGCTATCTAACTATACACAAATATAGAGGGTTATAGTATTCAGAATAGTATCAACATAGTATCCAGAAAAGTAGGATTAACAAAGTAAGTAAGTCTGAACCACAGAACTGCGTCTTGGTTAAGACTGGGATTTATCAGGACTGAGAAGTGAGGACTGTCAGAGTCCTCAAAGGAAAAAAAAAAGTTGCAATCTGTAGTACGTTTGATGCAAAATGGAAACCATAAAATCTGTGTTTCTAATATTAACCATACTTTAAAAAAAATCTAGTAAATTCACATCTGAACCATCAGTTTCTGAAAAAATACCTGGGGAAAGATTACCTTGGAGATTAGAGAAATCAAATACTAGTTCATAAAACTATGTATACCAAGGAGGTTCTCAAAAATTAGCACATGCAACAAAAAGCAAATGTACAAAATAAACTAATGGTATCAATTAAACTTCTGAGAATTCATTTCCCTCTCACTTTGGAATTATTATAAGTTGTGACTGCTTTATGCTACACAGTGTACCTACTACAGAGATATGTACCCAAAAGCCTTCATCTCGCTGACAATTTCCATCAAATACACAAGAAGAGTCATGACATACCTCATGAGGGTTTTCAGTTACGGCCAATCCTACAAGTCCAGTGGTCTGCACACAGAGCATGAACACATTTAGTATACCTAAGCATCCATTTCCGTGCTACCCGAGGATTCTGTTTTGGCTCAATATACACCTGACGGGGACCCCTCCATGACACGTCTCCGCCTCACACTACACACACGGGATCCCATACGCTTTGCGGTGCTATGACAGGGCGGGAGAGCGAGCAAAAGGAGTCTCCACAGGACAAGACGGCTGCTAGCAGCCTCCACGGCGCGGCAAGCTCCAGTTTACCCGCCTCCTTCCTCGGACCCGCCCCTCCGGTAACTCGCTGCTGCCCTACGAGCACCTGGCGCCTGACCCGCGTACCCCGCGGAACCGGGCCTTATGCTCCCCCCAGCCCTGCCCTCGCGGGGCGCCCGGTTCTCTCTCGCCCGCCGCTCCCCAGGGACAGACCCCCACTGCAGAGCAGGCTACCCGCCCGGCACGGCACCTCACCTTCCTCAACGCCCCCGCCATGGCCGCGCTGCGCGAAACGCCCCACTCCACCCTCCACCGCCGGACACCGGGTCAGCCGCGCGCATGCGCGCACGGGGCGCCGGGCGCCTGTGGGGACCAGTTAGAGGACGCGGCGAAGGACGCCTTTCTGCGCATGCGCCGCTGCTGCGCCGGCCCCAGTCCCGGTAAGCCGCGAGAGAAGCCGAGCGGAGCGTGAGAAACGCGCATGCGGTTTGTGGCACGGCGGTGACGTAAGCGCCGGGCTGTGGGGTGGGGCGCGAGCTCACGGTGGTGGATGAGGTGGCCGGTTCTTCGGCCGCCGGGTTTGGGGTCGGGCTGGGCCGGTGCGGGGCGGCCTCGCCCGTTGAAGAGAACCGGGCCGTTTCGGTGGTGTGGTGACCGGTTGGGTGGCAGGTGGCTGGGCCTTCGCTCTGGAGCGGAGGGGAGGCGGTGTCTCTGTGAGGCCAGGCTGGCTCGGTGGGAGGCCTGGCTCGGTGTGAGAAGCCAGGCCTGCTTTCGGGTCCTGTTCCTGAATCTGTGACAGGCCGGGGTCGTGCGCGGCCTTTGTTCGAGGCGGCTGTCCGACCCGAAGGCAGGTGGGGGTTTGTAACTCAGCGCTTCTTGGTGGGTAGGGTCTGCTGTAGCGGTACGCTGCAGCTTGTGCTTTGCTGCCCTGAGAAGAATCACAGATCTGGTTATCCCTTTTAAGTCAAAACATGTTTACTCATAGCGGTGGACGTGAAAATTCTAAAGACAGCTTTTGGTCAGTATGCAGAAGTTAAAATTTTCTAAATGACAGGTACTTCATTGAAAAAGCTGTTCTAGAAATGCATCACACAGAAGTTGTGTGTGTGATATGTGCATTTAGATTTTTAGCACGTTTCTAATAAAGATGCAGTGTAATTTTTTTGATGTGTTTGGGTGGTGACAGCAGTTGAAATCAACCGGCTTTTGCCAGGTGATAGGTTCATAGCTTTGGATTGATTTTCCAAAATATTTTGCAGAGTCCAAGCTTCAGACTTTATTTCAGAGCTCTCTTTCATGGGTCAAACAGCTATGTCAAGCCTCAAAAGTGTCAGAAATATGTTTGGCTGCCGCTCAGAGCAGTTTTGTTTGATGTATGCTTGGAAATAAAGATGTTTATGTTCACTCACGGTGGATTTTGGTGTAATACATGTGATTTGAATACATTTCAGTTTCTGACATTCATGAAATACATGTTAGGGTTTGCAAAAGTTTCTACTAGATGAATTCAAGCTTTCTGTGATGTAAAAAAATATGATTGATAACTGATGCTGTGTGCCACAGTAGGAATTTTTATGCCTGGGAATAGGTCTCATTAGAAATAATGTAGAAGCTTATAAGCAATTAGAATGTTACCTATTTTTTTGCAAAGTTACTATACTAAAGGATTGTATGCATCTGTTTATCAGTCAGGTCTTCCTGAGGTTGGTAAATTTCTACCTCAGAGAATACACAGAAGTGTTCTGGAATTTGTTTAATAAGCAGATGCATGCCTATACCTTCTATGAACTTTAGCTGTGAAATTTGACCAGGAAAATGTGTTAGAAGTAGTTAATTAGCTACAGAATCAAAAATAAGGATTGCTGTAATAGAATACGGCAAACAGGTGATTGCTCAGTTAATAAAGAAAAAAAAAGTATAAAATACTTAAGGGAAAAAGAAAAATTTGTTAAGAGACATGAGAATGGGAGAAAAAAAATAATGGTAGATATAAACATGACATTCGTTTGAAGATCCAGCTGTTCTATTAAGGTGTGTCATTATGGCCTAGCTGCTGATTTAAAGGGTGAATTTTGCATGATGAGAAATATTGGTAATAACTGTAAGTTTACATGGTATTTATTTGGACAAATATTTCTTCAGAATTCCTTTGGCCTGCTCTTGAGCTCATCTTTTCCATCACTGCTAAGCAAACCCAACAAAACAAGTTGGAGTTTTCCCTGAAAGCCAGTCTTTTAATAAGACACATACTCCCGCCATTCCATAATTTAAGCAAAATTATTAATACAGGTTACATCAGAATTTCACGTTTGTGCTTCTCCACTTCCAGGCATTCTTTGAGATTGTATCAGAGAGACCTGGAGTTTCTTTCCAAAACACTGAGAATCCCTCTTTCCTATCAAAATGACATTTTTTAAACATTTCCGTCTTTCTTTATTGGATTATTTCTGCATTATACCCTTCTCTGTGAGGATCCAACCAGATGATCTGTCTCCTGATTATACTAATCGACCACAGGACAAATCGCGCTGTGCCTGGTGATCTCAGCATCATTCAAACAATAGTTCTAACTCTGTTTAGACAACCCAAGCGTGTAGGTGTCCTTACCACGTCCTAGTACAGATAGTAAAAAATACTAAGCCATGTTGATGAGATAGATAGTTCATTAAATCAGTCCACAGAAGTTCCACAAATAGTTGCCCTGTCAGAAATTGCAGTATTATTTATCGTCATTAAATGTTTTTGTTGATCTTGTGTCCAAAGATGAGATACATGTAATGCCTTAGTTAAGCTTACAGTTTTATGGGTCTGTAAATGCAGGTGAATCATGGGGCACAGATGGGTTCACAGCATAACAATTTAATTTCATCAGAACAATTGATAAGTTATAAGTTCGTTGTTTCAGTTTGTTACATTTCCTTCTTGTCTGTTCATTTTGGTAAAGACAGTAAATAATTGGTTAAAACCAAAACAAGGCAGAGGTGTGGCATCAGTGATAAATATCCATCGTCTTCCGCATCCCATGCATGTGACTGAACTTGCTGGGTGCTGCTGCTGTTGGTGTTACTTTGAGGTTATTCTGCTTTTGCATCATTGCTGTTTGTGGTGCTGTGCCTCCTGCTTCTTTGCCCAATTTCAAGTTCTTAAATCTAGTGAAAGAAGCGCAGTAATTGTCTGTCACTGAATCTTTGCATCCTCTCAGCTTCAGAGATCAGTGTTTTGTGGTGTAATATGGTGGTCTACAACTAGTGAAAGGCTCAGTCTTCAGAGATTTGATTTAATTTATGTAAATACGTTACAGCTTTTTTTTAATGTAGCCCTTGAGACTAAGTTGGCAAATAATTTATTTTCTTAATGAGAGTTGTTGAACCAATGAGGGCACAGATAATCTTATTATACCATCCAGACCTCGTGTTACATTTGTCGAGATTTTAGAGAAGTCATGTGTAATACTTTCCTGTGGGTCAAGTCTGCTTATGTTACAGTTGCACAAGGTCAGACCTTAATTTATCTAGCAACTGCGTATTTAATTTTAGAAGTATCACAGGACCCATCAGCTTGCAGGGCACCATTCCTGGCTGTTCAAAAAGCAGGCCCCAAAGTAACAGTGGCAAGATAATGGGTTGCAAAGGTGAGAATATATGGTATGCTCGCCAATTAGACTAACAGAGAAAGAGCTTAAAACTGTAGTATTTAATAGACTGAGTCCAAATTTAGATTGCTATTAATTATTTTACTGCGATGAATAACCTCTTTGCATGCCTAAGGGCCCTCTATTTATAGAAAGCAAAGCTAGGATTGTCTAGTTTATTTTAAGGATAAGAAATTAGAATAACATTAACACTCGCATAACTTTTAACTTTATACCTATGTGTTTAGAAGTGATGACTGCTTTCCAAGGAAAGATGCAACTTCCATGATTAGCAAGTAGGTCAGATTTATTTCTATGAAAAAACAGTAACTTAAGAGAGCAAACCCTTTTATTTTTTAAGGAAGCCAGTGAGAAGTAAATCTAGTTTTTCAGGCATAAATGGAAAAAATATCAGACTACTCAGTGTTATTTAAGGAAAATATTTTTGGTAATACAAAAAGCAAAAGTTGTTTAGAGTAAGCATTTGCAGTTGTTTTTTTGTGATCTAGTGCCTGGTTCTGGAAATTGCAAAGCTTCCATACGTGAATGGAAGAAGATCTTGCTGCTGAGATTTTTAGCTTTTTCATTGCCACATCACGTAGTGCAGCGGGGATGTCTCTGCTGCTGCTCAGTGTACCAGCCACACTGTTATATTCCACTGTGATCCTAGTGGAACATCCACTCCTCAGTTGGAACTTGTCACCTCAACACAGTATATTACCAGCAGTGATATTGTACGTCAGGATCTCGAAGCGTGTATAGACCCATAGCAATGTGTTCAGAACTTCTGCTGTGATGAGCTCTTTGCCTTATACTTACTCTACCTTGTCACAGCCACTTGGTACCTTACTAACTTTCTTGTTTTATAATATATTTTTTGTGGGATAAGATAATTTGAAAGCAGTGCACACAACAGTTCTGAAACACTGCTCATCTGAGACCTTTCTGGTTAAGTCTGTGTTCAAGCAGAGCTTAATGTTGCCTGTGGCATAATCCATCTGGGGAATACAGCACTGCAGGAGATGACTGACCAAACAAGTGTGGAAGTTACATGACCAGAGGAAAAAACGTTTCCATGATGACCTGTAAGCTGATTTCTTCCTCTAATCTTTTGGAGAGAAAGAGGAGGTAGAAAGGCAATACATGTTTTTCCAGAAATAAAAGGATTTTTTTTACAAAACAGCTATACTGCAAGGTGTTCTGTGCACTTGCCTCTCTCCTTGGAATCAGTAACATTGGAGGGTATTGATCACCTCACAGGACTAAACCATATAGATACTGTAATACACCAAACCAGCCTATTTTTCAGACACTTCTCCATGTGTGGGTCTAAGTCTTCAGGTGTCTTTTTGGATCAGGCTGTAGGGCAGATATAATACAATGGGCTGTAACATAATTTTCAGTCTCAATTCTCCTAAGGACAGCAACTTCAGTAGGGATTGTGGGGCACAAGTGTCCATCCATGTGGATCTTACTGGGTGACCATGATTCATTAAAAGTATGCTTCAAGAGTTTCAGCAGTGGCATGAAGTCTTCAAACGGAGGGTTTTCAAAATGTAAGGTGTGAAGAAAGGGGAGGTAGCTTCTCTTTGCCTTTAAGCTGTTGTGGAGGAAGCAAGAGATAATGAATGTTATGTGGTTTTCCATAAGGAATTATCTTACATAAATTAACTGGTTAGTCTCATTAGGAGCACTATCCTAATGGATACGTACTTCCCTTTTAGCTGATGACGAGAAGAGGTTGTAAATGTGTTTATTGATCTGCAAGGCAAAGAGGGATTTTATCTTTGCTATCTAAAAGGTTTATCAGAATGATGGAAGCTTTAAGAATTAGAAAAATATTTATAAAAATGTGAAGATAAATGCACAACAGAACTTGACTTAGAATTCTCCTGCCTGTTGGTGAAGTTCATTGCCAAAAAGGGATGAGGAAGAGAGGCTCAGTTTCATGGCCTTACTGATTATGAGAATTTTACATTCTGGTTAGTAAGAAACTTGTGATAGCATTCCCCAAAAAAATGATGTTCAGCTGCGTTGTTTTGTGTAGCATGTTAAAGTTGCTATGGTTTGTATTACATCTTGGAAGTTTGGCATGGGATACCTTCCTTTTGAATAAAGCAAATTACATTAAAACTAAACAAACATCCTGCCCAACAGGATGGCAGTCAGTCAGTAGTCTCAGTAATTTCAGAAGCCTTTTTTGCATGAGAAGTTCTGCCTAAACTTCAGTATGCCAGAAGATAACTTCGAGAACTTTTCAGAGTTAGTATGATGTGAAGTAGATTTAACATTAGGTAATATGTGAAAGATTCTGGTACATGTGCCTGCATTGTGCTGACAAGTTCACCAGTCAAACTGATGTGTGAAATCTTCTTTTGCACTGTTATGGTGAAGCCTTGGTTTGAGACACCAAAGGAGAGAGCAGAGAACCCTTCAGAGAATCATTGTCTTTTCTGAACAACATAAAGGTCTATTCTTCTAAGCCCCAAAATAAAATGTGTCCATGAATATTTATTGTTACTTGTGGAAGGTTTTTGCAGACAGAAGTGTCAGTCAAGACCAAAATTGTATTATTTTTTCCTTCAAAGAAAATGGGATGGAAGTCGAGATTTTTTCCACTTTCCTTCAGATAGTCCATCTTTGCAGTTAAAAACCTGGGCCATGCAAGGGGTTGGAAGCTGCATTACGTGGAATCTGAATCCAGGAGACCCTTAACTTCTGAATCAGCCCTTACTAATTTAATTTTGGTTTGCAAGCTTTATTGTAATACTCTAAGTAGTAAAGTATTTGTGTATGGGGTTATAATATTTGCTGTAGTACTTTGATTGGCTTAATATTTGCAGGAACAATGCAGTAATTAGTCTAAAAAGGAAACTGGTTAGCACTTTACCTTGAAGATAATTTTCAGAAAATGGCCTTCTCTAATTGCAGTGTTCCTTCTCTAATTGCAAAATTACCCTTATTCCATCAGAAACATACAACAGATGCTTAATATAATTGTTTAGTATGTGTGCAACAATTTGGCAATGATAAGTGTTCTGTGGGATAGGCACAGTGCATGTAAACTGTGGGAGTAGTAGTTTAAAACTTAAAAATAATTCAACATCTGGTGTTCTCTGCCTGATTAAAGGATAAACTAAGATTGAATCTACTAATATTGAATAAAACAGAAAAATTGGCAAAACCTTAAACCCAGTAGTAAAAACCTAGGTAGCTGCAGCCAGGCATGTTTGAAGTCAATAATTCTCAAACAATTTGAGTGCATTTCTGTCTATAATTTTTAAATGTATATGTGTTTGTGTTTATGTTCATGAATTTGTGAATGCTTGTGTTTGACAGGAATCATTTCTGAGGTGATAACTGTGTTTACTATTATTATTCATGCTCCTGTAGACAACATATATTCACTGGCTTGATGACCACAGGTTTCAAAGAGGAAAAGTTCCTTTTTATGGTTCACAAATTTTCCAGTATTTGTCTGTAGATGATAAATGCAGTGTTTGAACAATAAAGAGAGCTTTTCCTAAATGGCATGTCTAGTGCTACATGTTTCCAGGGCTCACCATCTTTAAATGGGAATTTTAACATCTTAAAATAGAATCCTAGAATGGTTTGGATTGGAAGGAACCTTAAAGATCACCTAGTTCTACCCCCTGCTGCCATGGGCAGGAGCACTTCCACTAGACAGGGGAATAAACTCAAAAAACATTATTAAATTAAAAGACATTTATGGAAACACCTGATTTTATTACAAAAAGTACCTTAAGCAAGATATGATCCTTAGCAGTATATTTTTGTGTGTATCTCAAAATAGCTTATCGTTATAGCTCACCATAGAAAATGATGGATGAAAGAGAAGATTTGGTTGAAGATCTGCTCACTGAGTATGCCATACAGCTTAGCATCCAACAATCGAATGGGGCCAAACCACCAGTGTCTTCCAGCTGTAATGACAGGTACTGTCCATTCAATATGTTAGAGATTATGCCATATTTTAAAGAATGTTTTGAGACATTAGTATTTAGTCCAAACTAGAACACCAATGAAAACAGCACAGGGGTGTTCCAGTGGGTGTTCATACATGACTTCAGTATTATGGTTAAGAGTGGTTCCTGTAATTAGGAAATGTAGGGCTTAGCTGGGCTACGTGGCATGATGAGAGCTTTGGGAAGTGATACTCACTTGGCTAAACTAATACTTTGCTTTTCAGGCCATTTACCTTCTTATGAAAAGTGTATCAAATAAAGCTAAACTTTGTCTTAATAGTTCTTCAGCAATAATTCCATAAATACATTTTGTAGATTGTTCTTTCTAAAATGGAAGGATGTAGAACTGTAAGTCATGGGGGACTGTTAACATTTCCCCATTTCCTGTGGGCTCTCATGGAGGTCTGGGCCCTCATTGGGCTGTTGTAGGACTGGAATCTCCCTTTTCACTGAAGGCTCTCCACGGAGCCACTGGGTTATTTGGCTGCTTTTTTATTAAATCTGATCTATTTTTTTAATATGCTCTTACCACCAGAATAGCTCAAAGAGCTAGCAGGCACCAATAATTAAATCCCATCTCATGGAGGTTTAAATGGTATTGTTAAAATTCTTACCAACTCTTTTCCAGGGAAAATGGTACCATTTTTCCACTGAGATCATCAAACTCTCCTTCATTAGTGAATATTAACATTCTGACACTGTCACATTCTCGTTTGCTGTCTGAAGGTTTCTGAATCTGATGGGATCATTTTTGTAGTGTGGGGCAAATACAGCTTTTAGTCCATTTCAGAATTCTTCACCAAATTAGGAATTTTATCAGGTCAGTCCTCCGCAGGAATTGTGCACTTGAGCAGTTTAGGTACTCTGAAGGACCACAGAACAAGTTTAACATGGGAGGCCACAAGACTAATCAAGTTTGTAGTTGATGTATTCAAAGGAAAGTTGGCTGAGATGAGAACCTAATGGGAAATACTGAGCAAATATTAGAATGCATCTACTTTTTCTTTATATTTTCTATTTTCTGCTTTTTTTTTGGATAGTTTTGTACCACCTAGTGAGGAAAATAGGAAAATTGTAACATCCATAAAGCAAGGTAAAAACCCTAAACCAAAATAGTCCCTTTGCAAAAATAAGCTTTCTGTATGTTATTTTCCCAATTGCATCTCATTTATCTGTTGGATTTTTTAAGGTGAAGTATTTGGGCTCCAAGAACTAGTGAAACAGAAATATGCTTTGGATGAAGCTGATGAAAGAGGGTGGTTTCCACTGCATGAGGCTGCAGTTCAGCCTATTCAGCAAATACTTGAAACCATTCTAGATGGTGAGTAAAGTGAAAATATCCCACAATATAAGGGAAGCACCAAAGAATCATACAGCAATAAATAGCCATGCATGACAACAGGTTAGAACTTCTCAATAAACGAAGTATGATCAAATCCTCCATGGAGCATCTTGCTTATATTGTTTAAGTACTTGGGCAAATTTTCTTTTGGGGAAAGTTGCATTAATTTGCATCAACAGAGAACTTGGGCTGTTTTTAATGTTTTCTTCAGAAACCTACAGAACAAAATTACTGTTCAGTATTCAGTATGTTTGTCAGTACTAGTTAGGTTAAGTTAAACATAATTACAAGTAATTTTCATAAAGACTTAACATTTAAGGATTTCTAGTATATGTGTATGTGTTAACACCCTTGTGCTTTAGTTTTGTCTTACCTTTTCTCACTTTCTTACTCTAGCATCTTATAAAGCAATGTGGGAATACAAAACATGTGATGGAGAAACACCATTAACTTTGGCAGCAAAAGCTGGCTTTGTGGAGAATGTCCGAACATTGTTGGAAAAGGGTGTTTGGCCCAATACCACAAATGACAAAGGAGAAACTCCACTTCTTATTGGTAATTGTCTCTTCTCCCTGGGTTTAATCAGAGCGAATGGCAGCACTTCCCATCTGCCAAGTACTCTCCCTAGAACTCCTGTGGGATTGTGTGGTTTAGATGCTGGTCATCATTTTAGATGAAACTAAATGCCCAGTACTTGGTGAAATGTACCAGCGTTCAGCACTCATTGTGCTTTAGGTGATCACTGAGCTCACCTTAGATGCCCTTTATGCTTTAAGTGATTTCTGAGCTGCTCCTAAGAAAACAGGACCTATTTTTTTGTAAAGGAACCTTATCTCTACCTTCAGGTGCTATAAAACCTTTACCAACCTTTGGTCCTGTTTGACCTTCCTAAGGTACAAGTACAGCGTAAGAATAAGCAGATGCATTAGCCTAAATGTATTTTTGTGGAGGTCTGGAGGTTATTGGAGATGTGTGTTTTATCAGGTGATTTCTTCCAGAGTAGGCAAGTGTTTTCAATTTCAGAATCTTCCATGTCACTTCCCTCCCCTCTTTCACTGAAAATAAGTTTCAGCTGCATTTCTAAATAATACCTCAATTCAAAGAAAGAGAATTCCTTTGGAAGATTTTATACTATTGGTAGACTTAAATGAGCTTTACTATACAAGAGTAATTTAGCTATATTAGCTTCTAATTTCTCCTGAAGAGAATCAATCTACAAAATTAATACAATATTAGAAAATACAATCTATAATACAATTACCAGTAAACTCATTCTCCAAATTTTTGTTGACTTGTCAGATGCAATTACTGTATTAACATTTTAAGGCCCAGAGGCATTTCTAGAAGGTTCCTCTGCAATGTCTTGCTCTAGAATCATAGAATTAGGGTTGGAAAGGACCTTAAGATCATCTAGTTCCAACCCCCCTGCTGTGGGCAGGGACACCTCACACTAAACCATCTCACCCAAGGCTCTGTCCAACCTGGCCTTGAACACCGCCAGGGATGGAGCATTCGCAACTTCCCTGGGCAACCCATTCCAGTGCCTCACCACCCTAACAGGAAAGAATTTCTTCCTTATATCCAATCTAAACTTCCCCTGTTTAAGTTTGAACCCGTTACCCCTTGTCCTGTCACTACAGTCCCTAATGAAAAGTCCCTCCCCAGCATCCCTATAGGCCCCCTTCAGATACTGGAAGGCTGCTATGAGGTCTCCACGCAGCCTTCTCTTCTCCAGGCTAAACAGCCCCAACTTTCTCAGCCTATCTTCATAGGAGAGGTGCTCCAGTCCCCTGATCATCCTTGTGGCCCTTCTCTGGACTTGTTCCAACAGTTCCATGTCCTTTTTATGTTGAGGACACCAGAACTGCACACAATACTCCAAGTGAGGTCTCACAGGAGCAGAGTAGAGGGGCAGGATCACCTCCTTTGACCTGCTGGTCACGCTCCTTTTGATGCAGCCCAGGATGTGGTTGGCTTTCTGGGCTGTGAGCGCACACTGAAGCCAGCTCATGTTCATTTTCCCATCGACCGGCACCCTCAAGTCTTTCTCCGCAGGGCTGCTCTGAATCTCTTCTCTGCCCAACCTGTAGCTGTGCCTGGGATTGCTCCTACCTGGGTGTAGGACCTTGCACTTGGCACTTAACTTTGTGTTATTTTTAGGAACTGTTAGACTATGAAACTTCAAAGCTATTTGTAGCCTTTGTTTTTAATGAATGCTGCAAGGAGTTAACTAGAACTATTGAAAAGGGTCTTTGCCCCTTATAATGACAGTTTATTTTCCTAGATATTTCTCTATACAAACTTATGAAAGTGAGGTTTGTCAGTTAGGTGTTGCTTATGTGATGCTTCTTATGGTTTTGTGTCACTTAGCACTGAAAATGTGGATGTAGATATTGCTGTGCATCATACATTTCAAACTTGTCTAGTGGACCAGGTACTTGACTTTTAATAGGGGATGCTCATTATTTAGTTACTCCTTTTAATTTTAAATCACTGGACCAAAGGGCTCTTTAGTAAAAAGGTAACTGCAGAAGAAGTTTCTGTCTAGTGGGATGACTTCTACTTCCAGGTACATTTGGTAATACTCTACTTCAAAACAATTGTGGATAACTACAAAGAGTATTGCCTCTTCAAAACCTTCTTAACTATATAATGGCACATTCACAAGAGTTAAACTTGTTAAGCCTATGATGCTTATCTCTCTTGGCTGCCCACCAGTCAGTGGAGAGATCTCTTATTCAGAAGTAAAATTAGATTCTCACTCAGGATCACTATTTTATATGTAAATAATTTTGCAGGTGTAGTTACCCTTGCAAACCATGGAACCTAAAAGGACAGAACATGGCCTCTAAGTATGACAGATATCAACTGTACTTTGACTGACAACACCCACTGAGTACATTAGAATTAGAGTTACTAGATGACAAAGCCACAAGCAGATTTTTTTGGGGACACTGTAATATTTACACCAACGTTAGAAGTAAGAACAGTATTCAAATATGTTATTTTCATTGTTGCTTTCCTTTGATACACCTGCTTCTGCTTTCTCAGAATCAAAGTGGCGCTGCTTTTGCCCTCCGTGCTCCCAACTGACATATTTTCCAGCTTCTGTTGGTTTACCTTGATTTCCTGGGCAGCTGACATTACCACTAACTTACCGGTAAATTGGATTCCTAGATTTCTAGGACTGGGAATCTTTTTAATTTCCTCATATCAGTACAAAAGGAAAAGCCTTTCTGAACTTAATAGATGTCTTTCACTTTTAAGGTAAAATACCTGAAAATGTATTATTTTCTTCCTTTTTAAAATATCTTCAAGCTGTAAGAGGGGGCTCTTTTGAAATGGTGTCCACTCTGATTAAGCACAACTGTAGTATCCACCAGCCATGTGTAAAACGTTGGTCAGCAATGCATGAAGCTGCAAAACAGGGGCGCAAAGACATTGTTGCTCTTCTTCTGAAGAATGGCGGAAATGTGAACCTTAAGGATGGATATGGAGTAACACCATTAGGCGTAGCTGCTGAATGCGGTCACTGTGATGTGCTGGAGCATCTTATTCATAAAGGTATGTATTTTATTTGTAAAGATATGCACGGGCATACGTCTTACCTGGTTGCTGGGGTGTTTTAGCATGATCATGGAAAAGGAAGGAGAGAGTAGTGTTGAATGAGAAGATTGGTTTCTTGGAAGGAAATGAAGCATATATGAGAGTTCCTGCTAGACTGGAGTGATGTTTGCATGTTTCCATAACACATATGAGAGGAGTGGCAGAGTTGATACCAATCCATTTCAGTCAAGGAGGACCTTACTGCTGCTATACATGCCCCTCTTGCCATTCTTTCTTTCTCTTTACTCTTGTCATTCCCTTCCTTCCCTCTCTCCCTTTCGCTTCCTCCCTCCCCTGTGCAGAATTATATTAGTATTAATTAATGAAATTAAGTATTTTTGAAATATGCCAGAATTTTGGAAATCCTCAGTTGTAACACTTATGTTCAAAGCAGACCTCTCTCAGGTGAGCATTTGAACTTGTCTGTGTACATCCCTTGTTTTAGCCTTTTGAGTTTTAAATTTGCCACAAGAAATATTTCTTGTTTTGGTAGCATTTTAATTTAAATACATCTGAAAATGAAGAGGAAAGTACTCTGGGATTAGTCATATGATGATCTGCAAATCATTTTGAACATAATTATATCCTCTCAAGGTGGAGATGTTCAGGCCTTAGCAGATGATGGTGCATCAATACTTTTTGAAGCAGCCGGAGGAGGTAATCCAGACTGCATAGCCCTTCTTTTGGAATATGGAGGAAGTGGCAATGTGCCTACTAAGGCAGGACTGCTTCCCATACACAAAGCAGCTTATGAGGGGCATTACCTGTGAGTATGAGCTTGACCTTCACATTTTCTTTAAGATTCAATGTGGCAGAAGGTCACATTGAAGAATGGTAAACTTGAAAATGTTATAAACTTGCATTTATATTTCAGAAATGCCTACTGTAGCATTAGTTTGAAATAACTTTCAAGCCATTTTTTAACATAAACAAAGCAAAATGCAAAACATACTCCTTAGATCTGAGTGAAAACCACTAAAACAACTTAAACCCAAGGTCCTGTTTGATAGTGTTCAAAACTGGTGTTTCTGTGTTTGCATATTCCTGCTTAAAGTGTCTAGCTGGTAATTTAGCATATAGCTGAATCAGGGTCATTCTTGTTATTCAGGAAACCGATGCCTAACTAGTTCTTCTCGCTGTTTTTTAGGGCCCTGAAGTATCTCATTCCGGTCACATCCCAAACTGCAATACAAAAAAGTGGAATAAGCCCTGTTCACTCAGCAGCAGATGGCCAGAACTCACAGTGTTTAGAGCTCCTCATTGAACATGGTTTTGATGTCAATACTCTCTTGGCTGAACACATTTCAGATAGTTACGATGACAAAAGGAAAACTGCACTTTATTTTGCTGTTTCTAACAATGACATTCTTTGCACTGAAATACTGCTCAAAGCGGGAGCAAATCCAAACAAGGATCCTTTAAACTGTCTTCTTGTGGCAGTGAGAGCTGGCAACCATGAAACTGTAAGGCTGCTTCTATCTTACGGAGCAAATGTCAACTGCTACTTTATGTTGGTTAATGATACACATTTCCCCAGTGCCATTCAGTATGCTTTGAATGATGAGGTGATGCTGAGGCTGTTGCTCAATCATGGATATAATGTGGAGATGTGTTTTGACTGTATGCATCAAGATATCTTTGGAAATTCTTTTGTGTGGTCAACTCCAGAGGAAGAGATTCTCCCTGGGTGGACTTCTTCTGTAATAAAGGATAATCCAGTAAATACATAACTTTCTTCCTTCTCTTCACTTTGCTCTTTCCATAAGCCATCTTTAAATATTCCAGATTACTGTGCAGAATTAAGATTAACATACTGGCAAAATCCTTTTTTTAAAACACCCTTAAAATAAAACAACCATTTACATTTCCTACTCTGAGATAGAGAAAATTATGTACATAGGTTGGTTTTAGATTGGGGTTCTTATATTAGAGCTTTAGGAAGGATGTTTTAAGAAATTTTGAGGCAGGGTTCTGGAATTTCTGTTCCTATCCTAAACCAGTGGTGTGGATGTATTTCCAAAGAGGTATCGCTGTTGAACAAAACAAGGCTGCAAATTATAGCAATGTTATAGTAATTATTGGCCTTCAGGCCTGTCCAGATGAATTAAGGCATCACAAAGGTTAAGGATGGAAGAAAATTACTTTTGAAGTAATGTACCGAGACATCGGTTTATGACTGTTAAATGTCATTGCTAATACTTTGTTTAAATTAGCTTGTGTAATTGCTTGAAAATGTGTAATTTTGGCATTCTGCACAGATTTTTAACTTATGACTTATGTTCTTCCTTTCAGTTCTGTGACTTTATTGCTGTTCCTTGGTTGAAACATCTAGCAGGAAAAGTGGTTCGTGTTTTCATAGACTACATGGATTATGTTCCTCTATGCACAAAAATTAAGTTTGTCTTGGAAACACAGAAAGAGTGGACAGAGATACGTCAAATATTGGGTAAATATATAACTTCCAGTTAATAATGTTCTATTATGGGAGAATTTTAATTGCTGAAGTAGGGTCACATTCATCCAAAGTGTTTTAGCAGTCCAAATATGTACTAGCCAAGAACCAGGTTGTGCCTGTCATCCAATTCTTGAGACAGATTGCCACTGCTCATAAATTAGCTATTCAGTCTGGAATATGGCAAACATGCATCTGCAGGAATTAATTTCACAAGGAATGCCACAGTTGTGTGGGAAGCCTTTTTAGTTAAACCGGGTTACTGAGGTACTTCTCAAATACCTTATTAACCCATGTGACACTAGTCATTGCACAGCTATGGGGCACAACTCTTTTTATTGAGGAATATTGCTTGTACTTCCATCCTTTGTGCTCCCTTGGTCTCTCAAGTCTATTAATCATTGAAGAATTATTGTGAGAGCATGGTTTAGGCTATATTCAAGGTGATAGGTGATGTTAATGAATATTCCATTACAGCCTCTGTACCATCATTTCCTAATTCTGATTTACTTGATAGACATCTAGAGTTGTCATTACTAATAACATGATTGAATAATATTTCTTACATATGCTTTAATTTTGGATTTCTACACGTTAGCCTGGACCTTCCAGAGATAAGTTATACCCACTTTAACTTAAAGAAATCTTTTGAAGAATGTATTAAATGTTCTCTCTGTTTGCATTAATTTTGACCTCTTTTTAATTTTAAATAGAATTTTATTTAACTTAAGATTGTAAAAAATATTTAGGTTTAAGACTGGTACCCTGTATTTAATTTTGCTTCAGTATTTTACACTGGCATGCAGAGGAACTCCTTTTTGTTAGTGTCACAGGAACATCCAAATACTTTGGTAGTCTTAACTACTGATATTCCAAATATGGTGAAAGTTTTTGTTATGCTTAGGAAGGCTAAATTAGACTGAGTGCTCTGACTGAGGTAAATTCTGGTAAGAAGTATTTGTTTAGAAGACTCAGCAGGCCTGAGCATGAGAAGGTCTGGCCCTGCTGCTTTAATGATGAAATGGATGGTGCCATGGGTGCACCAGAGACAGTGCAGTGTATATATTTCCAAAAGTGAGACATTTCCCAAAGTGAGACAATAATGCTAAGCAGTTTGCTGACAGAGGAAGTTTGGTTAATCTCAGTTTCGTGTATCATCACAATTCTGAAGTGACAAGAATTGTATTTGGTAGTGGTAAAATCGTAATGCCCCAAGATACTAGGTTGTGCTACTGATTTTACTAGAGCATGTTTTGAGATTGCTAACTGGCTTAAAATCCCTGTTAATGGCATTGATATTCCCACCATTTCTTTATCACTTTTTTAGACAATCCTCGCCCACTGAAACATCTCTGTCGCCTGAAAATACGTAAGCTCTTGGGGTTAAAGAGACTGCAGCAACTGTCTTCCATGAAGAAGTTTCCACTTCCACCAATTCTCAAGAACTATATCCTATATAAAGAATATGATCTGTATGGAAAAGGGATACATTTAGAATAGTTTGTAAAAATAACTGCACACAGTCTGTAATTTGACTCATTTCCTCACTTTTTTTTTACTGGCTAAAGAGCTGTTTGTGTTTCATATTCATTTACAACATTCTCATACTTGTTGTGAATAGTTCTTTTATGGGAACAAATTTTTCTTCAGAACTAGTACATTAAAGATCATGTTTTAGCACAACATTGTGCTACCCAAATATAAACTAAAATCAGAATAAGGATGCTCTAATAATTATGTAGAACAGTACCCTCTAAATGGGAATTCAGAGGAATAAAGGATGAAAGGATAAAAGAAGAATTTTCATGATGGACTTCCCAATGAAGATGATAAATACAACTGATGCTCTCACCTTGTGGCACTAGTTTATTTATAAAAGAATATAAAGGTCTAATTTAGCTTGGCAAAGAAAATTAAACCACTGAATGCAGGTCTTTGCCATGTAGTTGGCCCAAAACGTAGCACGTTTTGTACTTTGAAGATCATGGTCCTATTATAAAATTCTCCAAACACTTACAAGATTCTCTTTAGCTGTTTTTGCAAAGTATTTCTTCCCAGGTATGACTGCTGTGTGTGCCAGTACTGCATGTTCAAGGCCTGGCAAAATTTGAGGGACTTTAAGTAGGCTGTTTTAAAGAAAGAGTAGATTCTGACAGAGAAACCAGGAAATTGGGCAGCATATTCCCTCAATTGAGAAATGTTGCAATGTCATAACTTTAATAATGGTTCTCACCAGTTTTGATAGATCAGTTCTCCACCAGACTAAACAACACCCTCCGTCATGCTGTGATTCACTTGGCAGTATGCTTCTGCACCTCTAAATTAAATCACATCTGATTAAAAATTCTTTAAATTACTCTATGAGAAGTGGATTACATTTCCTGCCTTTTCTGCTCTACCATCCCTTCTTTCCTGGGGGAAAAATACCCCAACAAACCAGTCCCCCTAAACAAAGAATATATTTCAGTTGATGAGTGTCGTAATTACATAGAACATAGTCAGAGTTTAGCTAAACATGATATTTAAGAGATGATATGCTGGTTATCACACACAGATACACATTTGCACCAACCAACATCAGCTCAAGCATCCTTCTGCCCTGCTCCCTGAACTGGCTTTCCCTGTTCTTCAGAACTTCCCCGTATTTGCCGGATGTTATTGTCACATGTAACTTATTAACACCTCAGTCAGAGATGTAAATTCCACTTCCAAAGGCAGCTATATCAGTCATAGAAACATAGAATAGTTAGGGTTGGAAAGGACCTTAAGATCATCCAGTTCCAACCCCCTGTTATGGGCAGGGACACCTCGCACTAAACCATGTCTCCCAAGGCTCTGTCCAACCAGTCCTTTGTGGGTCTGTCTTTCCTCACAACAGATTTACAGAACCAAATGGAAGGAATGGATATGACTGGTCTGGGACATGTAGAAGGTTGAACAGAAGGCTTAATTGCTGCTTCTGCTCTCACTGGGGCTGCTGTTCATCTGGGTTTCCAAGACATCTTTTCTGGTTTTTTTTGCCAGAGGTTTTCACCAGGGTGAAAAAGAACTTGTGACAAATGGCTAGGTGTCTGGCATGCTCTTGTGAGACCTCACTTGGAGTACTGTGTGCAGTTCTGGTGTCCTCAACATAAAAAGGACATGGAACTGTTGGAACAAGTCCAGAGAAGGGCCACGAGGATGATCAGGGGACTGGAGCACCTCCTGTATGAAGACAGGCTGAGAAAGTTGGGGCTGTTCAGCCTGGAGAAGAGAAGGCTGCATGGAGACCTCATAGCAGCCTTCCAGTATCTGAAGGGGGCCTATAGGGATGCTGGGGAGGGACTCTTCATTAGAGACTGTAGTGACAGGACAAGGGGTAATGGGTTCAAACTTAAACAGGGGAAGTTTAGGTTGGATATAAGAAGGAAATTCTTTCCTGTTAGGGTGGTGAGGCACTGGAATGGGTTGCCCAGGGAGGTTGTGAATGCTCCATCCCTGGCAGTGTTCAAGGCCAGGTTGGACAAAGCCTTGGGTGATCTGATTTAGCGTAAGGTGTCCCTGCCTATGGCAGGGAGGTTGGAACTGGATGATCTTAAGGTCCTTTCCAACCCTAACGATTCTATGATTCTATGATTCAGGCCAGGCCTGGCCCCTGAAAGATACCCAGGGTGACTGGTGCCTCCAGGCATGGCCTGAGCACAGAGTGCCCAGTGAACCCAGCATGGCTGTCTGCTGTCAAGGCTCCACTGGCCAACGCATCCTGGACATACCAGGCTAAATGCATGTATGGTGCGTAACCTATCAACTGATACTTCTATTTGGAAATTCCTGAATAGAAATATGGGCTTAATAAGTCTTTAGTAGAGGTAATTTTGATGAATACAGTAACCACAACACAAGAATCTGGGTAGTCACATATCTGATACAGTATACTGCAACCAGCAAAGGAAACATGATCAAATAGGGCTTTAGACAGGAGATTTTAAACCCTTTCTGTGTCTAGAGCCAAATTCCATTAGTAATTTTAGTTCGTGGGCCAAGGTTTATATTTAAGACTTTATACATGCCTCAGGCAATAGTTACATTGCCTGCGGCATTAAAGCATTCAGCTCTAGGACAGAGCATTGCCCCAACTGTTTAAAATATAATGAACTAGTCCTTAGAATATCATTAGATAAGCTAAAAATATATTATATTATTGTTTTTTCTTTTAAACAATACATCTGGGCCCTTTTTGTTGTTTGGTAGCCAGAGGGCCTCATCCCATCCAAAGCTTTTCTGTCCTTCAGCACTGAAGTAGTTTATTTACTGAAGACTTGCCCCCCGCCCCCTGGATGCTAAAGGAATTGCAGCATTATGAGAAAGCATCTTAATGCTTTCAAGGCATCTGTGAACTGGATAGAGGCAGGAGAGGCAAGACTTCATTTTAAATGTAATATAAGGTGAGAGACACAGAAAGGGAGCTGTGTAACCTCTATCATCATTATGGCACAGCTAGGAATTGAGCACAAGTCTCTTGACTCCCAGGGTTTGGAGCCACAGCATTGAATTCTCCTCTTGTGGAGTTGAGTATGTGGTGATGGGAGCAGGACATGTAGCTGCTCCAGGGCTGGTGGTTGTGTGAAAGAGGCAATACCCTTTTTCCTGGTAGGAAAAACTATTCCTTCTTTTTACCCTGCTTGGGCTGTGATTGAACCCTTGCAAGGCTGGGATTTAATTTTCTCTGCTATTTGGGTGTGACTCACGAGTGTTCCACAGCAACCCAATTCCATGGCATGCCCACCCATGGGCAGCATTGGCTAGCAGTAATTAAATGCCCTGGCACTGATTCAGGCATTCTCTGGGGTAGGGACTCCTGTTGGTTTGGGAGCAATGTTTGATAGCAGAGATATAATTTGGTCTCTGTTTCTCATCAAATCTGACACAAGCAGCTGCACCAGGCTGATGAGCTCTCCAAGAAGCCAGAAATTCAACAGTGGTTACATCAGCCTTTGCAGCACCAGTGAGATAGACTTTGTAAGCTGTGTTTTCATAGCTCTGTAAAAAAACAGACCATAGCCATAAGTTCTGATTATGACCAGCTATTCCCTGTAGGGGCCATATATGTTATGTGGGCCATCCATAAAACTTCCATACACTGGCTATCATCTAATCTTGGGAGCTGGCATGGCAGATCCTTGTTCTGGGTATCAAGGCGGGCAGTTTTACTGTTTCACTGCACCAGTCAGTGTTCAGGATGTTTAGCTATGGTTTGCATGGAGAAGAGGGACAAATTCATAATTGCTTATCTCTCTAGAACAGGTCTTATCTCATTTGCTTTTCCATCTTTAAAATGCACCTAATCAAGCGCCTCTTGCCCTTGCTTCTGTGCCTTCTGTGTAACCAGCTTTGCCTTTCTGATGTACTTTGCCTCAGCTCTGGTCTACCTGCTAAATCAGTCCTTTTAAAGCCTTCCCCCTAATTTTTATTTCATGTGTGTCTGGACTAATAGATCTCTGATCAGGAAAGGTATCAAGAAAAGCAATTCCAACCAAGGGATTTTCAGCCTTAACGCACCTTGTTCTTTTCCTGACCTTCAAGCGGAAATTGTTTGTTTAGGCTGCAGTAATTAAGAGTGGCTCCTTGCAACCCAAGGTGTCTATCCCTCAGAGGCCTCTTCTGACCTCAGTTCAAAAATACCCCATCTGTCTCCAAATGCATGGAGCAGTCTTCAAAGAAACCCATCCCAATTCTTTACTAGGAGAAATGCTGGATACATCAGAAAGAAGTACATGGGTAAGTGCACTGAATTGCTGTATAAATATTTAGAGGTAAATTTTGCAATGGGAAGAATTTTCTCTCTGAAATTCTCCCGTAAGCGTCACTCACACCAGTAAAAGAAGTACTTAGATCAGGAGAAATATTCCCTGAGGAACCTGTGTTTCATGGTTCTCCTGAAGAGCTGTAAAAACATATCAGTAAACGGTTAGTAGGCATAAGACTGCTGTAACAGTGTAGCTCTTCCTCCATGTAGAAGGTACTTACATTTCATTTTCGAAATTCACATTTACAGTAGAAATCTCTACTTTTGATTGGGGAAAAGCATTGCCTTTCTTCTGCATATTCTGCATGTGGTAGATGAGGTGCCCAGAAGTCCCATAATCATTAATACAGACTATTTAAAAAACAGACATAAAGACAATAGAGGATTAGTGAGTACTGCTGCTTTTAATTCCCTATGAATTACATCAGTTCTTTATATTGCTGGGATCTCCTTTTAAAAAAAATCTTAATAAATGCACACTGTCAAAAAAAAATGACAAAACCCAAGGAAATGCTAAATACGGAAGCCTTAAATACTTGTGTTACTCCCTGTGTATAAAGAGAGCAGTTTTTTATCTGAGTGACAAACTGAAGGTTTGGCTAAGCTGCATGGGAGAACTGTCTGGGACTAAGGCATTAATAAAAAATTAAATCCATGGACTTTTTACGATCACTTATAATTTAATAACTGCCTGATCTAGACGTGCAAATTCTGGTGTATTTGCAAATACCACCACAAATAAGATAATCCTTACATTGGCAGATGTTACGTATTTTATCATGCTTTCTGGGGAAAGAATAGGCTGACTGCAGCTGCCTAAGCAACATCCCATTCAAACTGCACTTCCAAACCCCACATTTTTTTGTGCATGCAGCAGTTCCTCTGCTACTTTCTTTGCAATACAGTGGCCTCTGCTTCCTGTCCAAAGCTGTTGAGCAATATCGCAATGTCATTCCAAACAGCTGCTGTGGTCACCCTATGTCTGTACATCAGTAGCGAGTGAAATGGTTTCTATATATAGTTTGTAAATCTGTTGGCAATGTTTGTAAAGCACACTCAGATTCTTCCTGAGGGATGAGAGCAGCTACATGAAAGCAGGAGCATTAAGATCCCCACTGCATACAGAGTGGTTTATCTTTTTGGTGTGGCAGAAACTGGCACTGTGGAAATGACCAGTCTGCAGAGATGTGGAGAAACACTTGCTCTGAGCAAAACACTGGCAGGAATAGTTCATGCTGTCAAAGATAAGCAGGTTCAACATGCACTGTCATTGCAGAACATGACATTGTACTGACACTAGATTATTAAAAAGTACTGGCTGTGTAGGAGGGAAAGAAAACTGGGAATGACATTTATTCAGTAAAATTTATTGGTCCCCCTTGCCTTCCCTACGTTAGTATGATTCAGGTAGGCGAAAGGGGCAATAAACCCTGAGTCTGCTGCACCCTTGGCACCCAGCTGCATGCCTCTCTGTATAATCAGGATCCATGCACAGAGGACACCGAGTGCAATGTGGGAAGTGAGTTTTCCTTCTTTTCATCAAAGGCTGAGGAATTTGATAGTCCAGAAAGGTTCT